GTGCAAATAAGGGCTTTGGCCTAGTTTTTTGGCATTTAGTCTTTACATAACATGGACTTTGAATTGCTCAACATTGCCATGCTGCAGTTTGTTGAAGAACTTTCAAAAAAATCCTAGGATTTGAATTTGAATCACAAAAAGTTTGTTCGAAACGAATGCATTTGAAAAAGTGTAATTGTGGTTTGAACCATATAAATATGATTTGAACCGTTTACATAAAATTAGAATTTGAAGAATATGATTTTGGTTTGAATTATATTTATACGGTTCGAACCATTTATGGAATTCTGATAAATTTCTCAAAGAAGAGTATATAACTTTGAAAGGTAAGGAAACACATGAGTTGAAATTCAAATCAAACCAAATGATTTTTGGATGAGTTTCCAATAGATAAACTTAATGAAAATTCAGATATTTTCAAGTAATAAACTAATAAGGAGCGTTTGTTCCCAATAGATATCTTGCCCTTATAAATATGGAGTTATCTCTTCTTTTTCTTGGTCTTGAACAAGATAACAAATTATCCTTACTATTATCTAAATAAAATAGTCCCCTTTTGTACTGTGATTGCTGCAAAAATCCTTGTATAAAACCTATTGTTTTGTCACTTTCCAAATGACAGTTCAATGGCAAAGGACAGTTCAATGGTTTCTCTGGCACATAGTCTTTTGGCAGTTAGTCTTTACATAACATGGACTTTGAATTGTTCAACATTGCCATGCTGCAGTTCCTCCTAAAAAAACCCAAAGACAATATTTATTGCATTGGAGATATCTTGGCTTACATTTGATGGTGACTTTTTTTTTTTTTTTTTTTTGGGTATAGTAAAAGGGAGGTTAGGATTTGAAAACTGAACCTGGGGTGGGTTACACCCCCCAGGAGCAGGAGGGAAGCCACACTCCTTTGCATGTGGGTGTATGATGGGGACTTTTCATCATAAGAATCCCACTGTGTAGCAGATAATTGTTGTTCAGATCCAGTTTGCTAATTTTCAGCCTGCAATTTTTATTTCTAAAGTTCTAGTGCAAATAGCCAAAGGCATTCTCAGTTTCCAGAAACTTTGGTTACACAAATTAATGACCTATTTTTTCTCTGGTCCGTAACTCATAGTAAATAGGGATCTCACAGCAATACTGTCAAATGGTATTGACTACAGTACAGAGCATGATGCTTTTGTGGATTTAAATTGAAATTATGAACTAGGATTGGAGGGAAGAAGAGAAACTTCAACCAATCCTTCTAGCATTTGTGAGTCTCCTCATAATGTGGGTGTTTGGTACAGCTGGGAAGGTGCAGTTGGTCTTTTTAATCCAAAGATAAAAGCCTTTCTTATATCCAATCTTTCAGTCCTATCCCCACTTTGTTCGTAATTCTTTATAGCTGAAACACATGAACTCTAGCAATAGAATTCCAAACGTTTGTGCTGTTTTGGGAGGAGTTGGAAATATGCCTACCCAGCCTTACGAATCACACCTAAGGCTGATTGCATCATAGAATCAAGATTATATCATACAATCTCAAGAGAATATTGCTCATGATGAAAATTTATGACCCAGAGAATATTACTCATGATGAAAATTTATGACTCATTGTTGGAAGAAGTTACAATCTTAAACTTCCTAACTCACTAGGAAATAGAATTTCTGCTAACTAGGGCTTAAAACTCTCAATAAGATAAACATAAAGAAATAGGAAAGCTTATAATAACCTAAAATAACACTTGAATAATGATAATAATTGCATAAAATATGCTTCGATATTGTAAATAACTCTTTCATATTTTATTATTCTGCATCACGCAGTTTACTTCAAGAAATGATGTTTGTTCATTTCATCATTAGTTAATGCATGTGCAGGACATTCAATTACAAAGCTTATATATGCTCATTCATGAGCATACAATAGCTAGAGATCATCCCATGAATCTGTAGAACATTATTGAATTCAATTCTTTATTAACAGATCAAGAGGCTTTTGTAGTGAGCCTGAACTGGCCATCTGTTGTGAGTTGAATTTTTTATCCTGGTTGCGCCAGATTTCCACCATTTTCTGACCAAATAATGGTTTTTTCAGGTATTTTGTCAAACCATGTGGCTAGCAAGTACATTCCAGCTTCTATCTGTTGGAAGCGAAATGCAAAAAGAAATAACCAGATGGAGATTTGCAGGAAGAGTTCTGATTGAGTGCTGCAGTTATGAGGAGCCCAATGTTACATTCTGATATGTTTGAGCTACAACAGAAACTGGCAGCATTAAGAGTAGCACGAGTTAGAGGGAATAAGAAGTAAAAGCCATTGTTGAACACTGATTTAAGGACTGGGCTTTCAAATTTCGTGCAGAAACTAAAGCTGTCAATGCAGGTAAATATAGTCACTTTCTGTTCTACAGGTGTATAGTTAACTATATGTCACTTTTTCATAAATTTCTTCTATAGCATGATCTCAACGTTTGCACCTTCTTTCCTAGCTTTCGGAAAAGAAGCAGCAACTTGTGGAAAAATTCAGGCAATCCCAACACCTTTTTCAGCATGGAATTCTCATCCACTTACTTTTTTGAATGATTATATATATATATATATATATATATATACATCAGCTGGTTTTATCTAGAACTTCGAATGATTTTTGTTCCCAAATATGCATAGGTTTTTTTCCATCATGGGCTTGTATTGAATTATTTATTTGAAAAGAATGTAGACTGGTCAGTCCTAGACTCTTTATTTAAGCATCATAAGGAGAAAGATATGCTGCATGAGCAGTTTCAAGAAATAATAATTTTAAGTGCTGGATTCCATAGAGGGTGTGAACTGGATGATTTTCCTTATGTAAAAGTTGATTATGTATGTTGAACTGAAGTAAATGCAATCATTGTTTTTCTAGAAGATGGTAGAATTGATTGTTTAGGTACTGGATTCCATAAAGGGCATGAACGTGAGATTTTCCTTATGTTCAGTGTTGATTATGTCGATAAAAAAAACCAAAATGCAATCATTAGTGTGCCAAGCTCATCTTCTAAGGTAATTAATCATAGAAGACTTGGAAAAAGCCAAATAGCCCTCAACAGGTCAATCCAGGAACCCTTTTAGTTTTAGTACACAAAAAGGGGAAGGTGCAAGCACCATTATATGTATGTATGTATGTATATTTTGTTGTGTGATGAATTCATACCCTGCCTTTTAGTAAGGGATTCATTAAGGGCTGCACCAACTGAAGTCTTGGCTAGGGCAGCAACTAGTTTCCTGGATGTGGTCTCATCTATCTTGGAATCAAGCTTAGCCTCAGAGTGAGGACATCCGTTCAAGCAATTGTTAAATCAAATCCTTGGTTTCTTCAACTCTTGAACTCAAATCAGGGACTTTAGAATTCGACTCATGATTGGTCACCATAACAAAACAAAAAAACTAAGCAGCAAAGTTGAAGAATCTTTCCCTCTCACACATCACACTGATGTGGGATAGGTTGCAGGTACGATGGCTTTAGGGACTAAGGGACTGATTCTAGGCTAATTTGGGGGCAAAAGGCAGAGAAAGGAGAATAGAAAGAGAAAGAAGAACCTTAGGAGTCACACCAGGGTTTTTTTAAAAGAAATCTTAGAAGTTTTCATGGACTTTAAAATAGCAATATGCTATCTTTAGAAATCTCATTCAAATTTTGCTAGAAATAGATAAAAAATTTATAATCTCAATGATTTTATGATATCTTATGAAGACTCTCATTTTATATTAATACAAAATTTACTTGGAAAAAAGGATGGTTGTTCATTTATTAATATGTTTGCATGACGTTCTCTTGCCAAAGGTCTTTATATTCATGAGCATATACGGTCGCTAGATGCCATCCTACAAAATTTATACAATAATATTGACTAATAAATCTTCTTTTTCAATAGATTATGGGGGCTTTTTTAAGATGAGTATTGAACTGATCAATTAAGAGATTTTGGAGGAAGAGGAACTTCCACTTCTCCTTCTAATTAAGTGTTTTTTTTTTAATTAAGTGTTTAGACTGTTAGGTTTTAGTATTTAAGGAGTTAGGGTTTAAATTTGTTTGAATTTTATATTTTATGATGTTAAAATTTTAAATTTTTTGGGTTATATATTTTATAGTGTTAGGATTTAAATTTTTTTTCAAATTTAATTATATAATGTGTTAATATTTATATTTTTAAGATTTAAGGTTTAAGGTTTAATATTTAAAAACTTAAATGTTTAAAAATTTAAAAATTAAAATTGTAAGACTAAAAAGTAAAATTTTAAAATTTAAATTTAAGAAGTAAAAATAAAAAAAAACTATGAGTACCAATAGGCTTGAAGACCAATCAATCTTATCGTAACAATAAAAAAAGATGGGCCGGACTTGAGTAGTTTTGTTGGGTGGCTTGGGCCTAAGCCGAACAGGCTTAACAGGAAGCACCACTGCTAATGACGTCATCGTTTGCGGAGTTCTAGATTTTTCCCGGTGAATTGTACGGAGTTTATAAATGAACAATTGAGAATCCCTCTGCCGGGGGGAAATGGGTAACCCGAGTTATGGGTAACCCGAATTCCCTGATCCCTGGAGTTGAAGAAAAATCGAATCTTTGAACTTTGTGTAGTAAAATCAAAAAGAAAAGAA